GCAAACCTATCGAATATAATTCATTATTAGAAGTATAAATACGATAATCAGTAACTCTCAGATCATTATCTTCACGACATGACTCTAATAAATTGTTTAGATTATCGTCAGAAATTTGAATTAAAATGCAGAAGTGGTAATATACTATTAGCATATTGTAATCTCGAAATGTGTAAAATAGAAATATAACAAACCTATTTGTCCTGGTTCTTGAATAGTAATATTATGACCTTATAATTTGATTGAAAATTTACAAATTTTAGTGTAATTAAATTTATCAACGGTTTGTAATAGACTTATAATAAAATTGTAATAGAATTGTAATAGACTTATAACAGAATTGTAATAGACTTATAATTAAATTATAATAGACTTATAATAGAATTGTAATAGGCTTATAATTAAATTATAATAGACTTATAATAGAATTGTAATAGACTTATAATAGAATTGTAATAGACTTATAATAGCATTGTAATAGACTTATAATAGAATTGTAATAGACTTATAATAGAATTGTAATAGACTTATAATAGAATTGTAATGGACTTATAATAGAATTGTAATGGACTTATAATAGAATTGTAATGGACTTATAATAGAATTGTAATAGACTTATAATAGAATTGTAATGGACTTGTAATTAAAACATAACAAACCTGGTAAACTTGATTCATTACAATGGACAGGTGTCAATTTTATATCTTTTAACCTTTCACGGATATCATTTATGTTGGGACGTTTATTTGGATCACCATTCCAAGCATCACTATAAAGATTCACTAAGTCAATAGGAGTTTCGTCAATTGGAACTTCTCTTTTACCTTTGATTATATCTAATGTTATAGCACTATGTTCTAAATTTTTAAAAGGAGGAGCACCACTTGACAATTCCCAGAAAAGTACACCGAGACTATAGATATCAGAAGGTTTTCCTCTCTTATAGGTAAATGGACTTTGTAGATATAATGGATCGGAATAACCACACGTTCCACCAGCGATAGATTTGGAGCTAGTTTCAGTAGATTTTGATAAACCAAAATCAGTAATGATCAATTTACCATCATGCACTAATATATTCCTATCGTGCTAAAATTGAATTTAACGTATTATAAACTTGTAATGAAAAGATGATAAAATTATGATAAAATGAATTAAATAAAGAAATTAACTTACAAGATCTCTATGAATAATATCTGCACTATGCAAACAATTAACCCCATTTGCAATTTCTATTGCCATTCTGATTTTAGTTGGCCAATCTAATTCCGAAAAATGAATACTTAAATAGGATCGAAGATCTCCATTGTTTGCGTATTGAAGGACCATATAATAAGTTTCATTTCTAGTGTCTTTGAATTTATATTTGAATAATTAATCATTACATTATTATTAACTTATTATATATAGACAGTATTACCTTGAGTAATTCCAAAAAATCGAATTATATTATCGTGATGATCAACTTTGGCAATGTATCTAACCTTATAATTATAAAAAAGGTAACATCTTAAGATCTTAAAAGACATGATAATTAGCATGAATGAGAATCGTAATAATTAAAAGATGATTTATACTTCTCTAATGAATACATCAAGCGAATCTTCATCATCTTTAGTAGGACCATGATGTAAGCATTTTAAAGCTACAACTTTATCAGCATCCTTGAAATAAGCTTTAGATACTATGCCAAAACCTCCTTTGGCAATTGGTTTAAATGCCTCAAAAGAATTATAGTCAAATGATTTAATAAATTCTTTTTTAATAGCATCGTTAAACCAATCTTTTTTCGATGACATTTCTATTCTTTCGAAATAAATTTTTTGAACAAAATTTTATTACAATAAAAAATTTATATAATAAGAGATTATAAATTTTTTAAGATTAATTATTACAAATATTAATATTAACGATACCGTATGTAATATATATTAATATGAACGTAATAGGTCAACAAGAAAATTTCAAGATATTTTATTCGTGCCAAAATATGAACCTATCAACTAACATTATAAATGATTTCAAAACGATTTGATTCCTAAAATTAATTATTTTTAATTTAACTTGTGCGATACAGATATAAAAAAAAATAACTTTATTACTAATTTTCAATTCTTGAAAGGTAAATAATTATTATAGGAAATTTTTTTGAAGATAAAAACCAATTAAATTTGTGAGTTGACGAATCTCATATAACATAACGTTAGTAAATTGTGATTTCCTAGTATTAATAGTTTATTAACTGTCTTGGCAAAAATATTTACGCGTCACACGTGTCAATTGTACAGTAAACTCACATTATGATTTACAGTATTGTAAGACAAAAAATTATAGTTGTCGCTCATTTTCCAACAGTCATCTCCCTTACCATTTACTTGACATTGTGATTATGGTTTAACATATGATTCGTTGCAGGTATATTTTATTAGTAATTTGTAACCTGTGTAAATGTCAGGTAAATGGCCTGTAGGAGTAATGACCGTTGAAGTTTCAAATTGTATAAACAGAATCCGTGATAGAAAAACAAAATATTATATTTTGTAAAGTGTTTGATCATTCTTTCGCATGCCGGATACTGCATACATTTAAGGTTTCATATGCTCTGGAATTTTATTGGTTGTCACAACCATATAAAATGCTTAAATAGGTATAATGTTTGTTTTCGTAAATATACTTAGTAACAATTTTGATATGCATTTGTTTTGTGTATACGTAACGATAAATGGTATTTATAATATTCTAAATTTGGTAAAATTTTCGGATTCTTACCGCGTTACCAACTTAAAAAATTTAGTTAAGAAAATTTAGTTGTCATTATAATTTTATTTTTACGTTAGTTATGTTTGAATAAGATATATTGTACTATAATTTTGTAAGTAAAAATTTTTATTAGTGCGCAGTAGGTTGTTTTATAATCGAATTTTTGAGTTACGAATAATTTTTTGAATTGATTTGATGTTTTTTGTGCGTCCATTTCGCATATGTAATATCACTTAATTTATCGTGTAATGTATATTATTATACGGACTAACTAATTTTGGATAATTTTAAACAAATTAATGTACCATGCGTAATATCAAAAGGAAATATTGACTTTGTTTGGTAAAAAAGAAATGTACCGGACAAAGTTAAAAATTACTTGCTCACATTAGTTCATTAAACTAAAAAGAAAAGTAATTTTGTTTATTTCGCGAAGGACCAATTAAAAGAAAATTTATTATGAAAACGTTTTATTTTTCAGTTATTTAGTTATAGAGCTAAAATATTTGTTTCAAATTAGTCTTCTAGATTGTGTAACATTTTTTCTAATTTTCCGGAGGTACGTACGTACGTAGCCAAAGTTAATCCAAAATCGTGGCTTGAACAAGATGGTGCACAAACGCACACACATATATACGTACGTACATATACTATATACTTTGGTACAAACATTTTATGGCTTAGATAAGAAGGACTTAGAGTTTATAAAAAGTGTAAACATTTGTAAATATAACAATAGTATTTGATCTGAACACTGAAACATGTACGTACGTACGTACATATCAGATATATCAAAGGTGACAAACCACCTACATATGTGGCTGTCAATACCTGATACATATATCAGGTATATACACATATCTAATACGTACGTACGTATAGCATAGCATGTAAATAATAAGCATATATAATGTTAAAATCTAACCAATCAAAATAACTACCAATAGAATTGCGAGATGAGAACTTCTCGTTGTATAAAGATTTGGTAATAGATTTTCGATGGACTAATACCATAATCCATTGACTTAACCATGATAAGGCCATCGCCAAAAAAATTTCATATCTCTAAATTGGAAAATTGCGCACCAATAATATGTTTAATTGAAGTATTTAATACCTAAGATAATTTTGCTAAAAATTCATATGTGAGATGTGGACATTAAATTTTAGTAATCAGCACAACTCAGTGATAAAAATGATGTCTCAACCATTTTTTTTCGTCACGATAACGTATTCACTTGATCGACTAAATTAAAAATTGTGCTCGACCTATTACAGTAATTTGGGTGCTTGAGTTCACCCTTTAGATAACGGGTTTAACATTATTACTTTGTTAAATATAATTGCGAAATATTTTAAATATAAACTACGAATAATATATACAGACAGGTAAAAAGTCTGTGAGGGTCTTTTTTTTTTACTATAATATTAAAAGTTTTTTTTTTTTATAAATCTATATAGCTGAGTTGTGAAAAATTCCTGGTCAAAATCTTTTTGTTAAAAATTTTTTAATACTATTGAATATAATAAAATGATCTTGTTCATGGACTTTAAATCCACCTAGTATATAATATATGCATAAATAGTTATTATTAAAAGCTATGCACTGTATTTTTGTGAAATAACACTGGTGTAATTTCAAATTTTGAGCTCAAATAAATTTAATTTGGCCATTATTTTAAATAACGCTCATGAGCAATATTAAACGAAAATACGGTATTAGATAAAGGAATGAAGCTGCTCATATTATTATCTTCTAGTTAAGTTATTTGGATATCAAGATTCGGAGTTTTAGGACTGTAAATAAAATGATAAAATGATTATCCGTGAGATGATTGAATAGAATAAGGATTGTAACTGTTTAACCATCTAAAAATTGTAGTGATAGGCTAACTTATGTTGATTAAATGATTGAGAAAATTTAAGCAATTTCAATTTTTAAAAAATTGTCAAAGACATTCTTAGTTTTTCATTAGCCTTGGTCCAAGAATTTAATCAATGACAGTTTATGTTTTCAATGGAAAGAATTTTATTTAATATTATTATCATTTTATTAGTTAAGTGAATAAATATAGAACTAATAATTTATTTATTAAACTAAAAACATATAATTAAATAATTTAATGATCTTATTTTATAGTAAAATAAAATAATAATTTTAAGTTGGTGTAGATTCATAGATTAATATTAAATAAAAATCTCATTAAATTATTATCAATTAATATTTATACTATTACGATAAAACCCAGCAATGAATTATATTTGTTACAATGTTAAAAGTAAGAACTAAAACTGATGTAATTAAAGTTAATAATCATAAAAAAAAACTACTTAATATTAAGGTTAGGGTTAGAGAGTATTTTATAATAAAATTTTGCATAGATTATTTTTTGTTAGAACCCCAAAGTAGTTTTATAAGCAAAATTTTGAATACCCTGTGTATACACACTAGTGTACAAATAGTAATTCTCTAAATAAGTGTTAAAAAATAACATACCTGAATAATAAGATGTGGAATATCTTCAATAAATAAATTCACCATAGTGATATAAAAAATCCATTTTCTAGCTTTAGAAGATATTGGAGCAGAAAAAATAGTCAATCCAAAAAATTTAGAAGAGAGAAAGTTTAATATTCCAATATCAACACCAGAAATTATTATAAAGAGTGAAACAATTTTCTCATTTTTAGCAAACCAATTTTGAAACCCTTCATTAGATCGAATCTCATTAACAACCAAAAAAAAAGATAAAGTAAGATTAAATGATATTGATACTACTAAAATAACAAAACTATATAGTAGATAAATAAATTAATAAAATTAATAATTAATATAAAAAAGAATAGATAATCAACAAAAAACTGTATACCTTGGAATAAATAAAGAAGGAACATCATGACCATTTACTATTATAAAAAATAAATCAAGAATCAGGTCCAAAATTATAAAGATTAAATTGAATATTACATAGTTCTGACTCTAAAAAATTATATAAAAAAATTAAAAAAAATTCAAGTTATAAATAAAATAAGAAATAAACACAAATAGTAGTTCTTACCTTTGGGTAAAATCTTTGAGCCAAAATATAAATAACAACTAGTATGATTGTAATAATTGCCAAAGCCAATAATTTGTATTTATTTTCATCCTAAAGATTTGCTGTAATTTAATAACAATAAACAATAAAAGAATATTAATGAGAGTAATAAATATTAAAATAACATAATAATTATAATAATAATAATAATGATAATAATAAAAATAATAAATTATATACGTTTGACTTGAAATCCATACTGATCATCAAGAAATATCATAAACTCTTTGTCAGATAGAGCACTTATATATTTATTATTTATTATGTTGTTTAAATCATGAATGATATCATCTACACTTGGGTCATTCAGAGGGTCAGCAGCCTTAGATATTGAAAGTTCGATCAAAAGTTTGGAATAATCTAAAGGATCAGGCTGTATATTATGGGTTATTTGTAAACGATCATTCATCAAAGGAATACTTTCTTTTATTTGTTGTAAAAGGTCATCAAACTGAGTCTTATTATATTTGAAAAGTAAGAAGAACCATCAGAATTTAAACGCAAAAGAGCCTGTGTTGAATCTAGTAATAAAATATAAAAAAAAATTTATAAATATAATATTTAAACATATTGTTAAATATATTATAGAATATGCTACATATCAAAAATATACCCAAATATACTGCTAAGTATGATAGATAAAAGTTTACATACCAGAAACTTTAGAGTTGTATGCTTAAATAAATGAAAGAATATGAGTTGCATTATTAGATTTAATCAGAAGCATAAACAAACTTATTTTGCATTAATAATAAAGTAAGATACAAACATTTTGGAGTCGTCACATGCCAAATTCCTTGTTTAATTCCGCGAAAAGGTTCATTAAAAGATAATGCTCTGACAAAATTATCATCGACAACAATAGTATAATCACTATTAATTCTATTAAATGTACTAGATAAGACTTGACAAGACAAAGTTGTAATATTATAAACTTCACAATAAGAGGAAGCAGAGTAAATCTGACGTAATAAAAAAGTATTTGAATTATAAATTTGATAAATAGAAATATTTCCAGTAGATGAAACAATTGGATAATAAAGAGTAATATTAATTTGAGAATTATATGATAAGGGTAATGTCATGTTTAATGTAGGATAAGAGGACAAAATTGCAACATTTTCATAGCCATCTGATAAGATAAAAGAAAATTAAAAATTTAAACAAGATTCTGTGATCAACGATTATTATTAACGATTATAAATTATATAAAAGCTACGTACAATCATTATAAATTTGTTCCACATCAATAATAGTCAGTTTAATTGAAGATGCATTAGAAAAATTTCCATACATAAGCCATATAGTATTGTTGTTAAAAACTCCAAAATCTATATAATTCGCATTAATAGATTGAAATAACATATTACGATTGCTTGAAGGACTTAAATTTGATAGAAATTGCAAACTTAATACAGAATTAAAATCATTTAATGTACTATTGTGACCTGTGGAGTTAAGTGCAATTGCGCCCATATGGTAATGTTCTGAAATATAAAAATTCTACACCAACATTTAGGACAGAGTAATTTGATTTTGCTGAAAGAAAACCCTCTTGAATTAGTGAACCAGATGATGAAAATTGTATAAATTTTACATATTCTGAATAACTAAGTAAACTATCTGAAACCATATATGAAAAGAAACATATATTGCTTTGCAATCCTAATGAGTTAAGTTAGCTTGACAATCGGTTAATACAACAGATAGCGTGCTACTACCATAATACCGATAGAGCAATAATTGTTCTGATTGTTGATCCATGCTATCTTTTACAAAATGCACATATACAGAAAATCTAGGATAGTTGTAATTAGTAGTAATATCAAATGGTTGATCAGTTGTATTTGCTATAGTATACACAATTGCATGTTGACCATCAATTTTAGCAAAGATTTCCTGAGAACGAAAACCAAACCCTTCTAATGGTGGTTTGAAAGAGCCATTAGATATTGGGTTCGCAATTCCATTACTTTTATAGAAAAGTATATAAATACAATATTAGAAATTGATAAAATCTGAAAGCAAATATATATAATCAAATATATATATATTTATATATTAAAACTTACAAGAATGAATATTTTGTCCAATTCAGATAATCCGCTGTTAGATGTGTTATCACAAAAGATTTGGTAATTTCATTAACTTTAGTTATAGATAATTCATCACCAGCTTTAATTGAAGATATTCCATTATTAATATTGTTAGTGTTATTTCTATTATAATGAGCAATTAATATTATATTGCTGCAAAAATAAATGATATAAATATTCATCAATAAAATAAAAAATACATAAATTCTTTCCAGTGTGTGAAATTCAATGTTCTCAATGTTCTCCGAGAACACTAATAAAATTTTAAGAACATAGTTCATTAAAATATGTTCTCTATGTGAGAACATTAAATAGAATTTTTTTGATATTATACAAATTTAATTTTTCTATATTAAGAACATTAAAAAATTTTGAAAACGTTGAGGACTAGAAAATGTTCTCAGTGAGAACATAAAATCAAAATTGAATTTCACACACTGATTCTTTTAATAAAAACAATCTGCTTACTTTGTTGTTGGTTCATCATTTACATTTATTATAGTTCCTCGTATAGTAGTATCAATTCTTTGATCAGAACGATTGTAATAAAGTAAAAATATATAATTTGTTGCCAAAGGATAACATTCAAAGTATCTCCAGGAACTTGCATTCTTAAAATTTATGACTTTTTCATAATTTACAGAAAATTTGCTTCCATTCGGATAAATAAGATTGATATTTATCTCTCCTAGTTTTGAGGAACATATTAAAATTGTTCCATCATCATATTGCACCGTATTATCTATTGTACCATATTCAGATAAATTGTAATTAATCACAATTGATTCGCTGTATCTTATCATTAAAATTATAAGGACAATTATGATAAGACACCATATTAAATTTTTACAAATATTATTCATTATTATGTGAAATTATAATATTAAGGTGTTTTAAAATTAATTTATTTCGAAATATGTGAAGGTTTAAAAAAATCTCTTTAATGTTTTGAAATTCCGAAATCAGGAAATTAAATAAGAGAATACGAAGATAATATTTGTGAACCTGCTCATAAAATACAGGTCAATTTATTTTATTCGAAATCTGGTGCTGAATCATTAATTTTAAAAAACCCTAAATATGAAGTTTAAATTGATTTCGGATTTTAAGAGAAAATTTAATTACTTCGTAGTCTGAATGTATTTTATTTACCTAGCATCATATTTATAGCTCTGAGGGCTACTTAAACTTATGATAATTTGTTTGTTACGTAAATGCTATTGATATCATTGTAAAAGTCACGTAAGAAAGATATTATTTTTATCGCCCATGAAACCGTTCCAGATTAGGAAAGAACGTCACACGATTTATTTACATTTCTTACAATACTTTTTAAAGAAACGCTTATCAGTTATAGGCTATCCCTGCAACGAAACGTAACTAAGAGTACTATGAAACCTTGAAAATTTTTGTATCAAATAATAAAAACATTGAATGAAAAATCATTTCAAATTACCAGCTTTTATACTTCAAATATATTGCACTTCATGCATGATCGAAACATATAATTGAAATCATGGTTTTGACTGATCGATAAATTGTATCACAGTATTCTCAGAAGTGATGTGTAACTTGTCAAGGGTTATTTTGTGCGTACGTACTGTACGTACGTTGAAAAGGGATGACTTAATTGTTTTAAGCTAAAACTAGCTAAATCTACACACTACAACTTCTAATCTTCTG